AACATAAAACACCTCCACGACAACAGCCAATCCGTGCAAGCACGGTGGCGTATAATGAGCATACTCTGTGGGTGTCCGCTCGAATTTATCGGATCGGCGCTGGGCCCCCTCTGGCGGCCATGGTGTACGCCGCACGTCAGGGAGGGGGGTCCAGTCCCGATCCAAGAAGTCTGCGCCGACCTTTGAAACACTCACGCTTGTGCCGTTTTTTCTTGTTCTAGATGCTCCAGATACGACCGACTCGGGCGACCTGCGATGAAGAGCAGCAGGCGGGCAGCGCGGCGGTGACAAGCACGGGCCTCTTGCCCCCGCTCCTCTCTTGCTCCTCGCGCGAGGCTCTGCCGGCTCGACGGGGCCCGGCCGGGCCCGTGGCTGCGTGAGGGAATGCCGGGCGGCGCTGGCCGCGCGGCCTCGGGCGGCTCTCGGGGCGTGGGGCGACGACGCGGAAACCGTCGGCAGTGCGTCGCCATCTGGCCTGGCCAGGCCCATCCTGGACCCTGGACCCCAGACATGATGGCGTCGTTAAAAAATCAGGACGGGCGGTTTTTGGCTATTTTCGGGCCTGGGGGGCCCTCCCTGGGCCTCTGGACCGTCGAAAAACGATTAAGGACGAAAGACCGGTCCCGGGGAAAGGGTCGGGACTTGCGGGGACGCCGTCCTGAAAAAATCAGGACGTCGCACGTCTGGGACTGCTGCATGTGCCCACGTGGTCTAGGCACGGAGGGTCCGTGCTCCAGTCTTGGGTCCAGGAGGGGCCCGGCTGGGGCCAGCGGCGGTGCAACTAGTTGGTGGTTTCCGAGAGACCGGCTTCGCGGCGGAGATTCGGGTTGCTGCTGCTGGCGACCTTCTTCGAAGGACAAGAAGCGGCATGAACATCAGTTCGTGGATCTCCGCGCAGACTTCTTCGGTCGGCGTCGGATTCCCCCTCCCCAGGCGCGCGAAGCGCGCCAGGCTGGCGCCATAGGCGCTGCTGGGGGGGGGTCACCGCCGACCCAATACGTCTGAGCGGACCTCCGAAGGGCTCTGCTGATGCCGTTTGCTGTTCTTCTGCTTCTCCGGAAGTGTCCAGACAGTTGCCTCGGGAGATCCGTGCGAGTGCCTGAACTGGAAGCAGGTGTACGCCACCAAGCGGGCCGAGTGCGGCGAGGGCGCGGAGTTTGTTCTCAAGGGGTTATTTGGGAGGACACAGGCACACCCGCTTTCCCTCTTTCAGGGATGCGATCCACACTCGCGTCTGAAGCAAGCGGGGCACGACGGCTATGTTGCATCCAGTCGTGTGCCGAACGCGCGACGGACCGTGCCCGCCACCGCTGACAAACAAGCGTGCCGAACCCGCTCGAGCCGCAGCCGTAGGATTCCAGGCACTGGGCGGGCTGAGCGAGCAGCACAAACAGGGTGGAGGTGATCCGATGCCGCACAAACATATCCACGCTCGTGGCGCTGCTCGTGCACCTTTCCCCCTCCCCGCCCTCTTCTCCAGGAGGAGGAGGAGGAAAAGAAGGATAAGGAGTAGGAGGAGAAGGAGGACGAGAAGGAGAAGGAGGACGAGGAGGAGGGGGAGGGGCAGGTGGAGGAGGAGGAGGAGAGGGAGGATGAGGAGGAGGAGGAGGAGGAGGAGGAGGAGGAGGAGGAGGAGGATTACAGGGATGACATCCTTTGCGGAGCGAAATATTCATAACTCACACCCTACCACCCCCGAACTCCCCGAAGAAGAAGACGAACAGGAAGGCGTACGACACGACCCAGAAGCTGAAGGCCATGAGCGGGAAGTACGTGGAAAGGCACCAACGCTTATACCACGAGCGAGTACCTCACGCCAGCACCTGGAAACCATAATAACTGAAATTTCACACAGCCACCCAGCCACGAGGACGTATACACGGGTAATTCCAATGAGAGGGGAATGGCGGCTCAACCGAAACGGAGTCTGCTCGATACGGCCCACTACACTATATTGGAAAACGAAACGAACCAGTGGTCATCGGGCAACCTCGAACTCCCAACGCGCAAACTTGCGACGAAAGGCACCGAAATGAGATCGCGTCCACCGCAGACGGTCCCGCAACCAAAACACTCATTGAAACAAAAATAGATTGAATTCGCCCCCAACCCACCAAGCCAGGAATATGCATAGAGACCAGCGGAAGGATGGGGCGCAGCACCCCGATGAACACCCCGACGGTGTCCGAGGAAGATGCATAGCGGGCGCCTTGACAAGAGTCGATACAAACCTGAATGCTAATGCTAAGGCCACCTCCTGAACTCCCCCGCGCACGAGACGACCCAGTAGAGAACCATCGCGAACGGGTACAAGAAGACCACAACAGCGAAGTCAGACAGCTCCCAAAATATGTGACCCAAAATTGTCAGACCAGCTGTGAATAAACGCGACACTGCGGTAGCCCACAAACTGCCGAACCAGTGTATGCCCAAGTATACATCTAGCCCCACACACTTTGCAAACACCCAGAATTGTAAAAATGCAGCGCCCACCAACAAGGCCATACCTCCCCTAGCGGCTGTGGGAGAGAACGACTTGAGAGCTGATGAAGACTGCACTGAAAGCCCGTCTACCACCAAAATACCTCCCCGAGCGGCCGTGGGAGACAACGGCGTGGTAGCTGAAGACATCTGCACGCGATTGAAACCGGCAAGCCAACAGTGAACCCCGATCGAGAAACCCCAAAATGAAACACTAATTGACCACTGCAAAATACGTGTATAGTCTGATGGGCCCACCACAGAAACACACTGAAGCTGCTCCAGCATAATAATGATTGACAGCCGACGACAGAACCCTGCAGACTCCTTAACATTTTAATCGCCACAAGATACACCCACTACTGGAGCCCGTTGGAAGGCCGAGCCACCGCTGTCGCAAACAACCACATCACTGCCGTGTTGAGATTGACGTATGGTTGCATATCTTGAATGGACAACACTTCTTCCACTTGGTCCTGCTGCACGAGACGCCTCAGCCGTTCTGACAAGAGCTGCTGAACCCGCCGCTCACGAGCATGATCGTAGTAGTCCGCGTAGACCACGATGTAGCCGCCAATGACCTTGAGCGAGAAAGGTTGCCCCACAAGTGGTGCTTGGTCCCGTGGAATAGACATCGGCGAAAGGTTGGCTAGCACTCCCATGGCACACCCGTGGCACAGGCTTCCGTCCCACTGGCCTGTGAATAGGACACGCCACCCCCACACTGTTGCCTGAAGGCACATAGCCACAATATTGAACTCGCCATTGCTCTCGTCGTAGTGTGACGTGTCGAAAGGCCCCTTCATGTTGATGCGAGCCACCAGATCGTGACCACCATCCAACGGACGTAGGAGCTCATTTGGTCCATGATGGCATTGAACCGGTGTGTAGCCAGGAATAGACTTCAAGGACACAACGGCAGAAGGCGTACTGGTAACGTTTAGAAATCGACACCACCGTGTCATTTGGAAGCTGTCCCACTGCTGCTTCAAATGCGAGGCTGTCGTACACAATCCTCCTCTCCGTAGCATTAACTCGCCATCGCAAATACTTGCACAGAAGATCGTCTAGCACATCTCGAACGTCACACGGGGGACATATGCATGCGATGATCACGATGGACGGCACCGCAGTAAGCGCAGCTCCTGAAACAGCTGAAAGACATCCCGCTTGCAGATCTGCACGCCCACTTGCCGAAGGATCGGACCACAATGCCTCTCCAATAGATCCGTTTGAAGATCAGACGCCTCCCACGTGGACAATTGCAGCTCTTCCTTTGAATCTGCCATGTATACACGACCACCCGCAATATTACTTTGCCTCGCCTCGCCACCCGCTCCAGGAAATCTGCACGTTCCTTCGGAATCTAGTCCTTCCCTTCGCGGGGCCCCTCAAGCGCTGCGCGGAAGCGCGAGGCCCGACGCCAAGCCTAGTTGGAGCCAAAAGATGGATCTACAGGGCTTGGGCCGATATGTTTGAGAGGAGGAGGAGGATGAGGATGATGATGAGGAGGAGGAGGAGGAGGAGGAGGAGGAGGAGGAGGAGGAGGAGGGGAGGAGGTTGTTCCGCTTCCCTTTCCGTGGCATCGTCTTGCAGCTGCTCGTCCCTTGACAGTCGTTGCTGCGTGGTCACCCTGGTCAGCCTGAATGGCGTGTGCACCGCGGTTTTTCATCCTTGAGTTGGCCGCTGTTTGCGGGGTTGCCTGCGTGGCAAAAAGCGAAACACCCTCTCCCCCTCCCCATCCCAGCAGTCCAGGCCTCGTCGCGTCGTGACGAAATCCACGATGGAAGGTGTCTTGATATTTACGGTCTCTGGGGGCCCCCTTGCGTGCTCTGGGACTGTCAAAACATGACTGGATGACAAGTTGGTCTCCGACGGGGCTAGGACGAGGATACATCCGTTCCAGAGCTTTCTGGAACGCTCTTAGAGCGTTCCGGAACGCTCTGGGAAGGCCGCGACGCCTGAGACATTTTCCAGAGCAGCAGGATCTCAGAGATTCTCGATTTATCCTGACCTGATTTCATCCTCGTCCTGGCTTTGTCTCATGGTCCTGGGGAATGAATCGAGACCTCCAGGGGCCAACGCTGCGAAAGACTCACGACGTCGGGGGGACGGCAGAGGGAGTGTGAGTGCTCCAGGCTGACTGAGTAAGCATCCCTCCAGAAGGGGACTGGACTGTTCATGCTTGCAGTACAGAGCTGTGAAGAAGCCTCGAGGGGAGCTCTGCGAGTGCTTCTGCGTGTATAATTTGGATGAACGGGTCCATCTGAGGCACTGCGGTGCCAGTCCACCCATGCCCCGCGCAGGGCCCGGCGCTGCTGGACATTGGGTGTCTGTCTCTGTTTGTCTGTCTGTTTGTCTGTCTGTCTGTCTGTCTGTCTGTCTGTCTGTCTGTCTGTCCAGGTCAAGAGCATGAGCCCTTTCGCCAAATGCCATAGGCCCCATGGATATACCCAAAGCGAAGAGCGTTCCAGGGCGGGGAGCCCAAACCGGAAGAAGAGACGGCCCCCCTTCCAAAGATGAGGTCGTTCTTGGCCCCCGTGCCAGCCATACCGATCATCCAGGGTGCGCGTTTGTTTTTGTCCCCCCGCCGTCGCCGTGGGAGCTGCTCTTCTACCGGAGGGACCCCCAGCACGCCTTCACCTACCACGAGTTCTGCACGAGTTTCTTTCCGAGACGCGCATCGCGGTGTTCTGCCGCCTGCCCCCCTCCTCCCCCCTCCTCCTTACCTTCTCCTCCTTCCCTCCTCCTCCGCCCCATACACAATTTCACAATCTGAATACTAATTTTCTCTCTCCCCTGGTGATGTCTGGGAAATGTTCGGCCCACCAACTCATATTGACTTTTTACAAACAAGATTCCCAGCAAACATGTTTTCGTTTTTCTTCTTTCCAAAATGCTGCCCTCGCTGAAGCGCTGGCTTCATTATCGGGCTACGGCTCGTTCCGAGTCGTGCTTCCGCTGCAGCGTTGGCCTCATTTCCGCGCTTCCGCTCGTTGCGAATCGTGCTCCCGCTGCAGCCCTGGCGTCATTATTTCCAGCGCCATGCCACGGCATGGTTGTCGGTCCTTCAAATTAGGCCCTAAAATCTAGAAAATACCTCCCCCCGAAAAAACCATCGGAAATGAATACACATTCGGTGTCGATTCGGGTCGCAGAAGCCCCAACTCCCCACTGTGGGACGTCGCCACGCCATGCTATGTCAGGCTACGCGTCCTCCGAATCGTGCTCCCGCTGCAGCGCTGTCCTCATTGCCGCGCTTCCACTCGTTCCGAATCGTGCTCCTGCTGCAGCGCTGGCGTCATCATTTCCAGCGCCATGCCACGGCATGCATTCGGTGTCGATTCGTTGATTTTTGGGGCCGCAGAAGCCCCCCTCCCGCTTTGGGGCGTCGCTACGCCATGCTATGTCAGGCTACGTGTCGATCTTCAACACCATGCTATGCCATGTCATGCTATGTCCTGCTACGAGATCCGACTGTGCGAATAGAGAGGATATCTACGCCATGGTAAGGGATGGAAGGGAGGGGTAGGGCGTCAGATATGACGCGAGCGCACCTAGCTTGCCCCTACCCCCTTCTCCTCCTTCTCCTCCTCCTGCTCCTCCTCCTCCTCCTCCTCCTCCTCTTCCCCCCTCCTTCCCTCGTTCCCCTCCGCGGAGAAACTGGTGCAGGAGGGGATCAACTTTTTATCAGCGCGTGCCTCGGCGCGGTTGCGTGCGCAGACCGTCGTTAGGGCCTGCTCAGCTCGAAGCTCGAGCCAAAAATAGCTTGAGCCAAGAACTGCTCGAGCTCCCCCTCCTGCCCGTCCTTTCCTCACTTCCCTCTGTCCTCCTCTCCTTCCCGCCCCACGATGCTGCTGTGTTCTCTTGTCAGGAAGGCGACAGTTCTACCGCGCCTTCGCGTAGGCGCCAGCACAGAAGCCGATCCCCGAAGAGAGGGTCGCTCTTGGGAGCCCGGGGTCTAGGGCTCCGGTCGTGATTTTTCGCGATGCCGCATCTTTCCGCAACGGCGGATCTCGGGGAACCGGGGGAGGGGGAACAGAGGAGGAGCAGGAGCAGGAGCAGGATGAGCTGGGGAGAGCGGAAGCGATATGTCATACGCCTGGGTGCCGTGGTCAAGGAGAGGGGCCAGCGGACATGGAGATGGATAACAATTACTGCACGCTCCTGAAGTTCTATGCTTATGGTAACACCGGGGTCGGCTCCTTGGGGGTGCGTGGCGAGACGTGGTGCTACGTGTCCGATAAGTGCACAGACCTGAACGGCGGGAGGACAGCGACTGGGAAGGGTCGGGTGGGGTGAGGATCAGTGCGAGGGGGAGGGTCGATGATCCTCAGGTCGTTTGTTGGCCCAATGCGTGATTACCCCTTTCAGCCACAACGATGGCACGCACCTGTGTCGGCCCTCATTGCACAGCCTGCGTCGCATTGAAGGGCTTCGGCGGACAAGGATTCGTTGGCTCGAACACACGTTGTGAGAACCATCGAGCGGGGGAGGAGAAGGGGGAGGAAGCTTGGTGGGCACATGCGGAAGTGGGACGTGGCCACGCAGAAGCCAAGAGATATTCTCCTGAACCGTGACGTCAGCTGGAAGGTGTGCAAGCCCGGACGCGATACGAGTCTCGGCGACCTCGATCCTTTCAAGCTCTTGAACTTGGCGAATGAAATGGGTTCGGTCACGGGCTACGTGACCAAGATGGCCTACCCACGGCTGCTGCCCGAGGTGGCTACATGGAGCAAGGTGCGGGACAAGTTCCGTGCGGGGGACTTTGGGCCTCTGCCCGTTCCGCTGAGGAAGGCCATAGACGCAGGGCAGCCCATCGTGGTGGACCACGACCCCGAGGGTCACGGGGCCCAGGCGCTGGTCTGGGGTCCCGACGACATCTTCCACCTGGAGCACAACGGCGACAAGACGCGGAAGAAGCCGCCGCACTGCAAGGGGCTCCTGATGTACCAGATCTTCTGCTGGCACCACGAGAAGTTCCGCCGCGGCTCCGAGCTCTGAGGTGCCGGCGGCTCCCTGGGCTGCACCGATTCCCGGCGACGGGTGCACATATAGAAAAGGGCAAGACAGATGGAACGTTCAGCCCAGCCTCGCCTCAAGTAATTCTGTTGCCGGTAGGGGGTTCGCATGTGGCCCCCCAGTCGGGGGTGAGGCCAGTTCTTGTTCTCGTTGTTTTTTTGTTTCTGTGTGTGCGTGGGGGGGGGGAGGAAGGGATCGCGCGAAGCTTCCCAGGAACCGAGGCCCCCCACAAGACGGACGGCCTACCAGTCGCCCCCACGAAGGTCGCGCGCTGAGGCCACGCCCTGGCTCCCCCCCCCTCTCAGGCCTCCCACGTTGCGTTTTTTTCCCAGCGCGGCTCCCCAGGGGTGTGGACCTCTTCCGAGGGACCAGTTTTTCATCCCGAGCAGTTTTTTGGCATGGCCCCTGGGCCCGGTAAGGCCCCTGGAGGCCGAAAACTCAGGGTGTGACTGAAGGGGCCCGTGGCCCAAGGTACCCCCAGCGTTTCGTTCAATTTTGGAGCCCCTGGGGCACTCTGGGCCTCGTGAGGGGGCCTCCCATGGGCCAGGGACACTTCTAGCAACACCCGAACAACAGCCAAAAACAGTCCGGCGCGAGCTCTTCACCACGAGAGGAGGCGGGGGCGCCTCCCGCTTCCCTCCCCTCCATTGCGGCCCTGACCTCTCTCCTCCTAACCCCCTCCCTCCCTCTCTCCTCCTACCCCCCTCCCTCCTCCTCCTCCTCCTCCTTCTCCTCCTCCTCCTTTTTCTCCTCCTCCTCCTCCTCCTCCTCCTCCTCCTCCTTCTTCTTCTCCTCCTCCTCCTCCTCCTCCTCCTCCTCCTCCTCTTGTCACCCCGCAGCGGGAGACGTCGGCGGCAGTGGAGGGGGTCGGCCCCGTCCACCCTCGGGTGGGGCGACCCGGCCTGCCTCAGAGCTGCCCACCCGCGTCACCCATGGGGTGGCGATCCGACCTGCGACAGCGCCGGTCCCCCTTGTCTAGGGGGGCAACAACAGCACAGTAAATCATACCCCAGTGCATTAGCACGATTGTGAATTTCGCCCATGGAGACTGACACATGTGGATCACGTGATTGTTGCCGTGGTACCTCCGAGTTCTGTGTTGCCAGGGGATGTGGATACATCCTCCACCTCTAAGGTGGCGTCCCGGCCTGCTGCAGAGCTGGTCTCCATGCTGCCCTGATGCGACCCCCGTCACCGCCAGCATGGCCATCCTCCCTGCAGTGTAGCAGGCGCACATGCCCCAGCTAGGGCAGTAAGCCAATCTGCCTTGTGGCCCCCAGTGAGCTGCCCGGGGCCTCCTTACAAGGTAGTGGGGCCAACGTCTGACACTATTCTGGGGGATGCCAGCCCATCCTCTGATCAGGCGGCGAGACACGCTTCATGACTGATCACTTGTACGGTAGGAGGCGATTGGGGCTATCGTGAAGCACCCCCCCGCCAAACTGAATGTGTCGAACAGAGGTGGCTGTCTCGGGGCATGCTGACCACACATCCCATCCACCAAACCAGGTGCCAACAACAGTCCCAGCACAGGCTCTGGGACTTGAATGTTGTCATCCCAACCTGGACGAGCACCTTCAAAGGGTTGCGCCTACCCTCCACGGCATTAGTACTACACTGCAATCCTCCTCCTCCTCCTCCTCCTCCTCCTCCTACTCTGTTGGAACTACAGATGGGGTGGGTACTGCGGTTGACAGATCATGCGCAGCACAAAGAACGAGAAACAGAAAAACGGACAGAAGGGGGACGCGATGACACGGCGCCGATCATACAAGGGGAAAAGGGAGGAGTGGAAGGCGACGACGCCTCATCTTGTCCCCACCCCAGCCCTGTCGTGGGCGAACTGGCCCCGCTGGTGCTGCTCCAGGAAGGGGTCCATGGGGGGTGCAACAGGGGAGCAAGTGAGAAGCGCGTGCTGTAGAGCCGATCGGCAGTGTCACCTGCGGGTGGCAGGCCGTCCACAGCAATCTTGGCGATGTGCTCGCACACGCCCGGGGAGCTTTGCCTGGCAGCAGCTGTGGCGTACCTTCCCCTTTGAGTCCAAACCACCCTCGAGGGCTTGATGGCAGGACGCGTGGGAGCACCTTCCTCCGGTGGGCCAACGCTTTAAACTCCCCCATGCCGGGCATGTTGAGTGGCAAGAGCTTTGTGGGTTTCACAGACACTGCGCCGAACTCGCACTGATCAGCGCTAAAAGACATGGCACGGTCGAGGCTGCTGGTACAAACAACTTCTGGGATCTTCCAGCTAGCAGGTAAATTCAGCTCTTCGGGCTGCTCTGGGTGCTCCACAAGAAGCTGGGCGCCTACAGCAGAACAAGCATGCGCAAAGTGTATTGTGGTACGGGGCACAGCGCTGGACTAATGGAGCTGATCCCATTCTGGACCTCCCCGAGACGGTATGCCCCGCGCAAACTCGTTGGAACGCACTACCCGCGGACAGAGCTTCTTCTTGATGGGCGGCCTCCTTTGTGCTCTACTGGAAGTCTCGCACGGTGGGCCAGCTCACACTGCCCACTTCTGCCCAGAATCAATCCGAGCCAATCGATCTTGCACGGACGAGCGGGAGGGCAAGTCACCAGCTTTGGGGTCGTTTGGAGCGTCGACACTGAGTACTAAGGTGGGCAGCCCTCCCTCCTGCGTGGCGGCACGTGCGAATTCTTGAACGTCCCCCGGCCGCCGCTGCCCAGAAAGGAGGTGCAACACATAGAACACAGAAGAGGGGGGGGCAGGCTTGGGAATGTGTCGAGCTTCTGGTACGTGGGCCGACTGGAACTCGGCGGTGGCACGTGGAGCAGGCGACAGTTTTTGCCATCTGTTGTCGATGGCTCCTTTTATAAAAAAGTCCGATGCACGTGTGGCTCTTTTCCCCAGCCTGCTCTGCATAAAGACCTTGAGAAGCAAGAGCGGTCGTCTGTACTGTACGGCGTTCTGACCTCGCTGATCTGGCATAAGTTTTTGCGTCAAGAGCTCAAAGGTAGCAGCCAGCGTCGGTAGACAGATCTTGGACCCAGGTCTGAGGTGCTTGCACAACCGTAAGTCAGTAAGACATGGGTGATTGCATGACTGGCGCACTGAGCCTTGCGCAACGGTTCTAGCTAGATCGAGCTTTGGATGGTGCTTAGCTCAGTGCGTAGCCCAGGCATGAGGGGTAGTACATGTGGCGTTACATCTTGGGCACGCATAAAATGAGTCAGGGTCGTCTATGCCACATGTGGGGGTGTGGAAGGCGGGGGTACCCGTCGCCGCGCACTGATGGAGCATGTCCCTTCGCTACATCACGAGACGGGGCCTATCAAGCTCTCCACAGGTGATCCCGACCTCCACCGACCTCATCATAACCTTCCACGCTTTCGGCTCGAGGAGCGCGAAACTCACCCACCACTTGAGGTTGCCTGGTGGGGCAGAACGAAGGGGCGTGACGCACGGTCGGGAGTTGGGCCAGATTCTGGAGGAGCGACTCAAACCAATTTCCTGGGACTCCTATGAGAAGGTAGAATATTACGAGCAGGGGCTTGGCCATTTCCTTCGGATTCGCAGCAAAAAAGGAGCCGCCTGAATCTGAGCAACAGCTGGAGTGACGACTTTTTTGCTTGAGTCAACACCTCTTCGTTTGACGCTTTAAGGGCGGGCGGGCGTGGCAATCGGGCTTTTCAGGGCTTGAGGGCAGCGAGAAACGCATCGACGCACTTCCCACTCGCCCTGGCCAGCGTCTCAGCAGGCAGGGTCCAAAGCACCACTTGGTGCAATAACTTTGAGAAGCCCAAAGGCAGAGCGTACTCGAGCTTCGCATCCCTGGTCAAAGGCAGACTGAACGCTGATCGCCTCAACGGGCCAAGCGTTGACGCCTGCTCATGGCCTCTGTGCTGGATCTCGGCCCCCCAGGGGCCCCCTCTATGTAACATTGAACCTAGGTGCTTGTAGGTATCAGCTTTGTGTGGCTTGATACCGTAGGCCCCGCATCCAAGGCGCCAGGCGTTTCGCAATCGATTCTTGCCTTGGTGGGCCCTTCCCCAGCAACGAAAACCATATCCTGGTTTTCCCTTTCAGGTAGTTGGGGCGGAAGCATGCCAGAACCAACTTTTCATGTACGATGACTGCCATCTTGTTAGCAGCTGACTTCTACTCTCGGTTTGAAGGCGGGGTAATGCGGATGAGGAGGTCGTCCACACAAGCTGAGCCCTGAAGCTCGTCGCCTCCCTGAGCTCCGACTTCGTCTGTCGAAACAACATCTGCTCAGTGACAACATATGCGGGGTGAGAAGGGCCGGCTGGCGAAGCAGAGTGCCGAATGACGGAGCGAGTATAAGGGGGGCTTGCAACCTAGCCATGACTTTCTCCTCATCTCCGGCCGTATTCTTTATCGCAAACGGCCGTAAGACTCGATAGAAAGCATCCCGCAAGTCTGAAAAATAGAGATTGTGGTCTGGTCTGGCTCCTTACCTTGAGGAGCTCCAGTGATGAACGCGTAGCTGCGCGGCAATGTCGGTTCCCCTCAGGCCTCCCATCCTACTTTGGCTAGCCATTTCTTGGACAACGCTTGCAATCATTCGCCTCACAAGGGTGGTTTCTTGAGAATCGGGACCGCCCGGCCCCCTTTCCACGACAAAGGCTCGATTCCTGGGCCGAATTTTCGACGACAAGCGTGTGTATTTGCTATTTCATTTCTCTGACAGCCACCTTCAAAAGCGCGTGCCTGATGCGCGTCGGCCCAGGCTGCGTGCCAATCTTAGCTACCACACAATGTTCCTGGAGTGCATACTTTGTGGGAGGATATTGCAACTCGAGCTCGGCTAAGTCTGGCGCCTGGCTGAGAGTAGCTGCAGAATGCTTGTTGCAGTCACCAATCACAGCATTTGCGGCGATGCCTTGACTCGCCTGCATGTTCGAGGGGCACTCGATGAAACGTTTGGCAATGGCCCTGGGACTCTGGTACACTTCAACTCCCTCCTCATTCATCATGGGCAGGTGCTCCCGGGCACGC